AAACCGATAATTATAATGTAATAGGTAAATTTGCAATGTTACTGGTTTAAATATATCTATTTAGTTAGAAAATAGGTCAATATAAGCGCTACCTATTACATTATATAAGCGCTACCTAATATATTATTGTACTTGATAATATTTCCGGTTAAATGATATAACATAATCGGTCTAAATTTTAATCGATCACTTATTTAACAGGTCACGTCATTTTTTAACCGTTTATTAGGCGCTACACAACAGAAGTTCCCACAATCAAGAGATTATTAGTGTTAGAGAGAGAGAGAGAGAGAGAGGTGGTTGGAAATGAAAGAGAAATTAAAAGGAAGGTCCTTTTTATACTGCATATTTAATTTATATAATTAAGTTCTTGTTCCTTCTATCTTCTATCTTTTGTTTCATTGCTTTTGGGGTTCGGAGAAGATGATGTTTCTTAACCTGTAAGCTTTTATTTTATTTTTTTACCTTTTCTTTCCTTATGCTTCACAGAGTGAAGTGTAGTGAATCCACAGTACTAAGGAGGGGGGGAAACGAGATTATTTGTGTTTTTAATTATTATTATTTTAAGCATGTCCAAAACTTTAAACATTTATGGAGTTTCTTATTATTATTATTTTATATCATTATTTCTTTAAAATTATTATTTAATAAAGTGATCTTTATATTAATGAAAAACGTTAGTTAATAAGATGAGAAATTAGACCATTTAAATAAAATCATGAATATAAGTTCTGATATTATGATTATAAAATTGGGTTGACAGGATCATATCATAATAATCTTTTGTAATATTTGATATGAATTAATTGATTAATTTACTGTGTAAATGACTAGTTATATTAAAAATTGAAAAATGTTAGTTAAGACATAAGGACATAAAACAAAAGTTTTATTTAATAAAAAATGTGTAATGGATTGGAAAAAAATATTTTTTAGGGTGTGATTTAAGATAAATGTAATTAGTTAAGGATTAAAGAATATTTAATTTAAGTAAAATATATTATCGTTTTCGAAAATTTTATAAATTTACATCTTTTAGAAAATTATAAGTTCGTCTTCTGATACATAAGATATGTTCATCCATATTAATAATATGATGCCTAAAATTATATTTCAACATACTTCAAATCATTAATCACAAATCTGAATTCTTAATTTCCGATTAAAGTAGAAATTTTAAATTTTACACATGAAAATCAAATGAATGACCCAGAAGTTAATATCAACTTTGATATAAATCAAAATGTAAAACATATTTTTCTTTTGTAGAAATTAAAGTTACTATATATTTTTAACTTTTGTTAGGAAATAATATGGGTAATTTACATTGTGACTCACTAAAGTTAATATCAACTTTGTTAGGAAATATGCAATGCTCTCACTCAACTCCCTTATGCTTATTGGATAAAGTTGTTACGCGAAAAGTATAGAATATCTTCTCTTTGCCCGGAATCAATCGCGCGTGCAAATAGTTAGCCGTTTTGGCGCTCTCTTACTGGAATTTGGCCGAAATTCTATGCGAACATGGCTTGGTCTATTGGAGATGGTGGAAACTATTCGTTTGTGGAAGGATAATTGGTTACCATCTATCGGTCCGCTTCATCACTTTGCTAACCCGAGGATTGATACGAATAATGATCTTAAGGTTTGTGATGTTGTCTCAAGCGATGGGGAGTGGAACTGGGTGTTACTCCATCACCTCCTTTCTACTCTAGCAATATCACATGTCCTACAGCAACGCCAAACCAAAACCTCGGTCCAAATTTCTGTTATTGGATGGATGGAACCAAAAGGAATTTCTCCACCAAGAGCGCCTATAGATTACTGTCTGAGACACGCTAAAACGACCCCGATTGCCGATGGAAACTAATTTGGAAGTTACAGGTCCCTGAACGTGTCCAGAACGGGTTTTTCCAAATCTCAACCTGCATGTTATGTGATAACTCGGATGAAACTACTCTTCATATTCTTCGAGATTGTCCAATGATCCGTGCTTTGTGGAATACGCTGCTCCCCTCATTTCCATGCACTGATTTCTTCGATTTGCCACTTGTTGATTGGCTTATAGTAAATCTCAATTCCTCAACTCAGATTGCATCCTTCGATTGCTCTTGGAACATTTTATTTGTTTCAATCTTATGGCAAGCATGGAAAAGGCGAAACACACAACCTTTTCAAGATGTTGCAATTGATTCCATTCGTTTTACTTCACATCAGTTCCACTTGGGCCAAACATTATGCAGCTTCCATCAGCCCTATGGTCGCCTCCTAGCTTTGGCGATATCTACCTCAACAAGGATGGGGCTATGTCCCTCTCGACGAACCTCGGATCGGCTAGTGGTTTATTGCGTGACCAGGATGGCATGATCCTCTCATGTTTTTTCAAACATTTGGGATTAATTTCGGTCCTACAACCCGAGCTTTGAGGTGTCTTTGAAGGCCTGAAACTTGCTTGGTCAAATGGATTCGGAAGACTCACGGTTAAGAAGGACAACGCCGAGGTTCATAAACTCCTCTCCCCACCTCCTTTGTCAAGCCCTTATTCCTTTGTCCGTTCTATCACTCAACTTACTTCCAGGTCTTGGAGAGTTGATTTTCTCTTAATCAAGCGAGAGGCTAACGGAGCTGCGGATTTCATGGCAAAGCTCCCTGTAACATCCTATGTATCACCATTGGTTTTGGATTATCCCCTGAGGCCTGGATACCTTGATCCGTATTTTGAATAGAGATATGCACGATCCCTCTTGCACATGTATAAGGCGTTAATGTACTGGCTTCTACCTCTTCTTTTAATAATAATAAAAAAACTAATTGATCAAATTATAACTTTAAAAATTATGTTTATCTTATTATAATTATAAGATTCGTTGAGAAAGCAAAATATATTTTTCAGATAAATAAATTAAGTCGAATATGTACGTATATAGAGCCAATGAGTGTTGACACAAGTGGTTAAGATTTAAGAATTTGAGCTTGTAAGGCCAAATTTTAATCTTACTACCGTCACTTTTGGTGGACAATTTAAAAATTCCCATGTAAATCCTAATTGGGTTTTAGGTGCCTTTACCGGGAGCCATCCTTAATCTAATTTTTTTGTACCAATAAAAAATATGCATGTATATAGAAATTTGTTAATTATCCTAATGAGATCTAAACTTCAAGTCATATATGTATGTTCAATAATTTTTTTTGTTAGAATTGTTTTAAAAAATTAATATAATGATCTAGTTTATTAAAAATAAATTTTCAATAATTTAGCTCAATAGAATTAAAAGTTTGTGACCTAAATACAACTTGTGCTAAATTCAATGGTTCATGATGAAAATTACCGAAAGAACTGTCCTGATATAAGCCCATGTTGATAGTAGGCTTAGTCTTCGGTTCAAAATCCAGTTATTTAAAATTCGAATTCGAATTATTTTAGATTTAATTTATTCTAAATTTAGATATTTAGGGGACCAACTTTGTTACAAAAGGTACATATACTTAATGACAGACCAGGGAAATTTCCTTCAGCAATTGAAAGACGGTTATCAAAAAGCATTCAATCAGTTGAGTTAAAAAAAATTAAATTATTCGAGTCTAAAAGTTTTATTTAATAAATCAAACTTCATTTAAAAAAATTTCCGAGTTTATCAAATTCAATTCGAGTTATTTAAACTTATGTTTAAATTTAATTTTAAATATTTATAACATATGATACTATTTGATTATAATTTAAATAGTTTTCTATAACCATATACAATACATATATATTTCTTCATATTTTTCAGATGTGATACATTATAAGAGTTGTGGGGTTCGACTCAAACTTAAAAATCAATTAACTACTTATTAAAAAATTTAAGTTATTCGAGTTATTATTAAAATTATTCAAGCTCTATTTCCTAATTCTACTCAAATTTAATTTTTTTAGAGTAGAGTTTATAAAATTATGAGTCGAATTTTTTAAAATCGAGTTAAATTAAAAAGAAATTTTTTTTGAGTTGGGTTGAATTTCTGTATTTATTCGTGAATAGTATTTATCGTACTGAACTGAAAAACTGGAGAGAATTTGTAGTTTACAATGGAAACAAGTGACAGATAAGCTGTGCTGGTGTTGAGATTTGAGACACCAATCAAAGCGTGAGATTATTGACATTATCCACCAATCAAACATCAACATTCAACATGCCTTTAATAGCCCTTTTACTGTAAAAACCGCTGCATCTAGTAAAAATCAACACGTTTTTTTACGTGAAATTATTCCTTTTGTGAACAAGCAGCCGGTGCTTTCGATCGGCCCCTCGAAATGGGCCCTGAACACCCTGTAATCAGCTCATTCACAGCGATGGTAACAGGACTAGGGATGGCAATGGGTCGGGTCGGGTCGGGTTTTTGGGCTACCTGACCCGACCTGAGAAGAAAGGGTTCTCCACCCGTGACCCGACCCGACCCGAAAAAATTAATATTTCACCCGACCCGACCCGAATATATGACTTAGAAACCCGACCCGACCCGACCCGAAATAATAAAAAAAAAAATTAATTCAATGAAAACAGTGACTTAATTGAAAAAAATTATATATGGAGTGATATTATTGTAATTATCCCTAAATATATAAGATAAAATTATATATATTTTTCGGGTCGGGTCGGGTCGGATTTTTTTACCCTAAACCCGACCCGACCCGAACAGTACATTTTAAAAAAAACCCGACCCGAACCCGAACCCGAAATTTATTTTAAAAAATCCGATCCGATCGGGTCGGGTCGGGTCGGAACCCGTCGGATTCGGATTGAGTTGCCATCCCTAAACAGGACGAGACGTGTTTTTACTTGCTCCGACTCAGTTTCTAAACAAATACTCCTCTATTCTTAATCTCTCCCGAGTAATAATGATCAAATGTATATATATAAAGTTTATCCTAAATCCGAATCCGTTTCCATTGTCACTCATGATTCATAAACAAATAGTAATGACAAAGTTTACTTGCTATTCACAAAGTAAAGGTGGCCTCAATTACTTCCATCTATAATGCCTCCGGTTTTCTTCTCAAACCAGAAATCAGAGTAAAATAAAGTAACTGCAACTCGAACTTCAAATGAATTTGAATTCGATTTCACTCGATTTGTAATCGAAATTATTTGTGTTATAAACTAATGTTGTTTGAAGTATTGAAGGCCAAACAGCTATAATGAAAACAATAACTTACATAAGAAATGTCAAACCAGACTGGCTGCATCAGGCAAACCTTGATGATGATCGCTTTCTCTAGCGGACGGCGGTCCACGATTACTATTTGGCCTCTTTACGACGACATTAGCCCGGCAAATCGGACAATTATCGTGATTGTTAAGCCACAAATCGATGCAAATAGCATGGAAAGAGTGCTTGCAACCATTCAACACCTTTACTTCTTCCCCGTCAGCAAACACAGATAAACAAACGGCGCATTCATTTCCGATATCTTTGGAGTGCGTCTCTTTTTTGAACTTATGACCCGAAATTGGCTCCCGTCTCTCAATCACTTCGATAGAGCTTCCACGGTTGTCCCTCGGAAGCTCGCTGGAGCTGTCTCGACGACGTTCACCGGAAGACCAAGGAGGGCACTTGACGGCGAAGAAGAAAGCATAGACTATAGCTGGGATAGTTATGACGGCCATAAGAGCAAGGATGAATTCGACTGGCGATAAATCGACGCTTCTCGGTGCACCGGGGAACGGTGGCGGTGGATTGATGGTGACTATGGTGATGTTTCCGTTTTGATCTATGGGGTATATTTGGGGTGTTGAGGTGAATGGCAACGGCGGAGGTGGGCTGGGGATCATGTTTTCAGGCTGAGGAAGTGGTGGTGGTAACGACGGAAAGAAGGACGGTAACGGCGGCGTTGGTGGTGGCGGTGGGCTGATAACAGTAGGTGGGTTATCCATTACAAGGGGAGGGGGGAAAATACGATGGTAAAAGACTAAAGTTTAGGCTGCTACATGATTTTTTTTTATTTGAGCTGATGTATTTAATTTTTAATAATTTTCAAAAGCAATAATTGAGGGGAAAATGTGGGGTTTTGGTAGGGACAAGTTTCTCCTAACATCATGAAAGCAACGCATGTTACGATTATTTAAATTTGTATTTTCATCAAATAATACTTGAAATAAAAATTTGAGGACCATTGTTGGTCTTTATGTATATCCATTGTCGTAAGTCATTTATGTATACTTTTTTATAGTTTATGTGGGTTTTATGATTATGATTTGGGGTTGATGATTATTTCTTTTAATAATATTGTTTTTAATATTTAAAGTTCAACAAATTATATATATGTGTGTGTATGTACTCTTTAGTTTTTTCTAATCTTGTGTCACTGGTCATTTCTTTTATCAAATTACATTAATTTTTCTGCTGAGTTAGATGTTCTGCTGATCATTTATATTTTGAATCATCAGATTAGATATAAATATATAATTTATATTTGGGGATAATTTTCTCATTATGTTCGACTCTAATTTTTTATTGTTAATGGTTTTTAATAATATGATTCTCATTGTGGTTCGTTCACCGATGCATTCAGATTATTCGTATTCATATTTTTTTCGAGTTTTTTAGAATGAGTTTTTAATATTTTTCTTATATTATCATTGTATGATCTCAAGTAGTTAGCTTTTCGAGTTAATTGTTACGGGGTATGTCTTAATTATGTGTTTAATTCATAGTTATGGTTATAAATTTTTATTGTAATTTTAGATATTTCTTCTCTATTAATAAAATTAGCAGCTTCTATTTACATAAAAAAATAAAACTAAGCGTTGATAAAAATATATATTAAATAAATTTAAAATTTTAATAAACTTTTAATACTTTTTTCCTCTAGTAAATATTTTTTTTTATTTTCTGATCAACCATTTACCTGTAATAAATCAATTAAGTATTCAATATTGTAGTTGATTTTTTTTACCCATTTAGCATTTGTTTCATGCTTGGGAGTAACAAGTCAATACTAGACCAGTCTAGCACTTCGAAATATAGGCCCAAATCGTAGTAGGTTCTCAAACCTTGGAAAAATCAGCAAATATTAATAACATCTTCATGGGCAATTGACATTTTGAGTCACCCCAATTTAACATCGAGCAACACGTAAGTTGCAAACTTTCAATTTTATCAAATTAAATCACCGAGCTTCCTGTTTTTAAAATTAGACCACTTATGCCTATTTCGTCATTTTGTTGATAATAAAAGCATAACGATTCAATTTGATGAAATTAAAGATTTGTTATATACATACAAATTGACACAAATACATGGACTCAAATGCAAATTGACACTAAATTCAAGGGATTTGGATGCAAATTACTCCTATTTCATCTTTTGCCATTGACAATCTATATACCGCTAATTTTTCTCATTCACACAAGCCATCTCCCTCCCTTTGAGTCACTTCCAAGCAAATATGCAACCAATAATGAAAGGGCAGCTAAGCTAAACGCATTCAATCATTTCGGGGGGAAAAAGTTACAACTCAGAAATATAGTGTTCTACCAGAATCCGGCAAAGAAACGTCCACCTCTTGCGGCGACAAAGTCTCAGCACGGCAAAGCGGGCAATTCGAGTGCGAATTTAACCATTTATCGATACATCCCACGTGGAAAAAATGCAAACAATCCGGCAAAACCCGGATTTGCTCACCTTCCTTGAAATCACCCAAGCAAATGGCACACATATCTTCGTTTCGATCTTTGTTGTATCGAAATATGGGAATCAACCTATGAATCATCGAACCACTCCCGCTTCTTTGACGTTCACGGGGCCTTTCATGTTGAGTTTGATGAACATTTTGGCCGGTATTAGCACTGACCGTCTCCGTCGGCGGCCGGTTGTAGCAACTACAAATCGAGTGAATAAAGTGATAAGTAGCCACCACGATGGCTCCGGCAATGACTCCGAGAAGACCGATGAGAACCGGGTTAAATCGTAAGGCACGACCTCCATCGTCTCCGTCCGGACTCGGTCGTGGCATCTGTGAGTTTGGTGGAGATTGCTAGGTGAGAGTTGAGGTTATATATATATGATATTGAAAAAGAAAGATGAATGGTAACAAATTAAAGGCTTTACTTTCACTATCATTTGTAACCGTAAACGTGGGTGACACGGTCACGGAAGGGGAAAACAACCATTTTTTGTTCAGAAAATTGGTGGAAGCGCCGTGTGATCTTCAAATCAATGATCTTATAAGATTTTAGGTAATTTAATTGAACGTGAAGTTTTTGTTTTTATTTTATTTTATTTGAAAATTGATTTTCAAATTTTAATAGGTGTTTTTAAAATTGAAGTCTTTCGTGATAGTTGGGAGACGTTAAAGATATATCAAAGGAATTTTATTTTAATTTTTTAGAAAGGGAAGGTCGAGATTGAAGCCTTTGGTATGTCGAGATGATTTATTATTATTATTTTTAAAATAATGACATTTGAAATAATATGACATATGTGAAGTGAGTTTGGAGAATATGTATTTCATTTAAAAAATAGATTATATTTATTTAACTTATACTTATAAATATATTATATGAAGTGGATCGCATGAAGGATATAATTAGGATTAGGTAGGTCTCTGGATCCATGCGGATAGTGGGGAGGGGAGGGTTTTAGTCTTGTGGGTCGCAGGACGGATATAAGAATGAAATTCTTGACGACGATAGGGATGAAAATTCTTAGCAGAGATGGGTGTAGGGAGCACCCATGCACCCGCCGCACCCAATTGACATCCCTAGGTAAAACCAGCCATTTTGGACAATAAATTGAAATTATTTTCGAGGTTCAAACATCAGCAAACTTGCTATGACTTTTCGAATGGAATTCAAAATTTTCGGTTGAAATATCTTCTTACAAAATGATCAATTTATAGTTATCTTCTTAATGCATCTTGAAACATCTCAATCAGATGTTGAAAACTCAAAATATGTTTATTTTAGTAAAGATAACGCATGCAAAAATTTATATACGAGATTTGTGTTTATTATGAATTTTCAACATTTTTACTAATTATTTATAATTAAATTCATATTAGAACACTTTATATGAATTTTAGATAAATCCTGATAAAATTTAATATTTCATTAAGTAATTTAGATAATTATGAATTATTTATTTTATCAAGTTTTACAATTTAGTTTAAATATAATTTCAGAAATTAACTCAATTTTTAGGCTTTCTTTTTTTAAAAGAAATTGTTAGTTTTATTAAAAACTCCAAATTACAATGCAAGTTTACAACTACCAATAAATAATTGATGAATGTTTACCTGAGACCTTAACCATTTGAAATGATCTGATTCATACTATTAGTTATGCTATTTAAACTTACTAACGCTTCAATTACTTTTACAGATTTGATTAATCAAAATTTTCAATCATATCTTAATGAGTTTGTGGTTATTTTTTAACTATCAAAAGTTTTATTCTTAGGGTCATATCATATTGTCTATTGGAATCTAAGTGGATCCAAAGAGAAATTGGGGCATTGGGGATTAGAAATCTTTAAAGAATGTTATGAAGTTCGAATTTTTTTTAATTCAGTCTCTTGTTAATATTTATTCAAGGCACTTCACTTTTGTAAAAGAAACAATTCAACGTCAACTTTTTACATGTTTGATTACATATTGTTGTTATTAATACTTAGAAGATTAAATTATGTAACGATCTTCTAAAGTTATTATTAACATTATAATATTTAATAATAGCATTTTATTGATATGTATAAAATTTAGAATTATGACCATAAACTATGTCATTACAATTAATATTCAAAAAATAAATTTAACAAATATATTTAAGAGTTGTTATCATTTATAAATACTTTAATTTTGCATAACGATATTTACTATTTATTACAATATTATGCACAACATAAAATGTTGTTACGAAACTTGATTATCAAAAATTAGTTTTCTTGTAATGACGTAAGAGTGTTTAACTGTTTAGCTTGAATTTCAATAAAATTTTGTCTTGAAACCAAGACATGCAAGGGCCAATTGCACCTCGTCATTACCAAATTATGGTATTAGGAAGCATGTAAAGATAAGAGAATCAATAAAATAAAGGAATTCCATGCCATAAACATCGAATTCATCCGAATATATATGAGATAAATTCTTATTAAATAATATTTTTTTTCAATTTTACATATATATAAGATTATTAGATGATTGAAAATAAACTATTGAAATAAAAAATAAAAATATTTATTAAAAAATAATAATTAAATTTTCATTTTACAGTATTAAAGTTAAAAAATAATTGATGGTTTAAAAAATAGTGGCAAAAATTTGACCACCGTTAACCATTTTTTTCATAGTAGACACTACTCACTAGAACGTGATAGAAATAGGATAATTACTTATTTAGTTACCTAATTATCTTATAGTTTTGTTTTGATTATTTAATTTTTTTTAAATAATATTTAGTATTTTGTTTTGATTACTTGTTATTAAAAAATTAAAAAAATTACTGATATAATATTTTTTATTTTTTAAATAATGATACGATATTATTTTATAGTGACATATTAATATTATATTATTTAACATTTTATTAATAAGTGATCAAAATAAAATTGTGACAATAGTCGAATCATTCAATACGTAGTTTACCTTAGAAAATAATTGAAAAAGTGCATCGTCACCAAGTAACGCCGAGTTCAATCGGTTATATCTAGTGTCGGCTTTTACAAACGGAAGACGGTGCTTTACCTTTCTGTTTCGCTTGGTATCTGTTGTTGTGGGCGGTGATAAGCATCACAATCGCTCGTGGAGCTTTTTCTTCTTATCGGTTCCTCGATGCTTATCCCAAAAAGTACTGTTTAAAGATCCCTGCATTTCTCTTCCAGAAATATTTCATATATATATATATCAAAGTTTGATCTTTTTTCCTTACTCTTAAAACTTTGTTCTTTTTTTCTGTTCATAATAAGAAAATTAAGATTTGGGTTTCGTTTTTTTTTATGGATTTTTTGTTTTTGATTCAGTGTTTCCCACCTGTGTTTGGAGGATTTCGAGAGATTCTGGGGTTAAGGTTAGATACTGTGTTTCTTCAGCAGCTTTGGTTTAAACTCTCTCTCTGTTGATCTATAGGAAGGAAAAAGTTTAGTCTTTTAATTTTTCTAATGTTCTTTTTGTGGTATCTTTACTAATTTCGTTCATTTGTGGGCATTGTTGTTTAGTTTTCTGATTGATAAACTCTGGGTTTTGAAGAAGTTGTCAATAAGATTTGTCATTTTGTTGAATTCTATAACTGTTATTTTTTTGTTGAAAAATGGAAAATCTCAGATAATCTGAATTGGAAGATTATCATCTCCTGGAAGCCTTATCAATGGAGAACCATCACCCTTCAACTCTCTTGTCTATGGATTCAAGTGCTTCCTCTCATGAAGATTTGGAATTAGAAACGAATAGGCAGATTGTTCTTTCTCGTCCACCGGATATCAATTTGCCTCTCTTGGCCAAGCCGAGCCCTCCCCCTAATGCCATGGAACTCTGACCACTGTGATATTTTGGATGTTGGGCTTGGTTCACAAGCTTATGATACTGAGTACTACCTAACAGTTCCCAAAAACGGGCGAAAATGTTCCAAAAGGGTAGATAGTATATGGGGTGCTTAGTTTTTCTTTAGTTTTTACTTCAAACCTGCTATGAATGACAAATCAAAGGCCAAGGTTACTCGTGATGTGAATGGCTCTCTTTCTGGTTTCGATAAATTGGATCTCAATTTGGATGTTTTCATGGTTCAGCATGATATGGAGAATATGTATATGTGGGTTTTCAAGGAGAGACCCGAGAATGCATTGGGTAAAATGCAGCTTAGAAGTTACATGATACGGAGAATATGTATATGTGGGTTTTCAAGGAGAGACCCGAGAATGCATTGGGTAAAATGCAGCTTAGACGTTACATGAATGGACATTCTCGCCAAGGGGAACCGCCGTTTCCCTTCAGTGTCGATAAGGGATTCGTCCGTTCACACCGGATGCAGCGGAAGCATTACAGAGGACTTTCAAATCCTCAATGTGTGCATGGGGTCGAGGTTGTTCCTTCACCAAATCTCATGGCTATTGATGAGGAAGAGCGAAAAAGGTGGATGGAGCTTACAGGAAGGGACTTGAATTTCAGAGTTCCACCTGAAGCTAGTGATTTCAGTTCATGGAGAAACCTTCCGAATACCGATTTTGAGCTCGAACGGCATGCGATAAAAAGTGTACCAAATTCTCACTCGAAGAAGCTGTTAAATGGTTCTGGGCTCAATCTTTCCACTCAGCCATCTAACCACAGCAATGGTAACGGGATCAATGGGATGGACTTATCACTGATGCACAACAAAAAGCGGAAAGACATTTTCCCACACGGAAACGACGATGATAGCTACTTGGCTGTCATTCCAGATATGGAAGTCCACCTCAATGAGCCGCACTGGTTAAACGAACTCAGTGGGGTAATGAAGAACGTTTCCGGTCCCGTTACAGCTGCAAACACAATCTATGAAGATGAAGCAGGTTATTTGATCATTATAAGCTTGCCTTTTGTTGATCTTCAAAGGGTCAAGGTTTCATGGAGGAATACTCTCACCCATGGCATCATTAAGGTATCATGTGTGAGCACATCTCGGATGCCTTTCATCAAGAGACGTGATAGAACCTTCAAGCTGACTGATCAAGCTTCCGAGCAGTGCCCTCCTGGGGAATTTGTTAGAGAGATACCATTGTCGACTCAAATAACCGAAGATGCTAAAATCAAAGCATACCTTGATGGTACAGGTTCTGCACTTGAAATAATGGTTCCGAAACTGCCCGTGGTGCCAGAAGAACACGAAGTCCGGGTCTGCCTGCGGGCGAAGCTTGGAGGGAGTGGTCTCATGTTGACATGAAAGTACAAGGCATCTAGGGTTGATGCATCATTGTTTTACTGACCATTTTTTATGACATTTCTGGGTAAGGTATGATACAAAATGTGAAACTGGCACTTGTGTTATCCAAATTTTGCTGGTTAATTTCTATGGTCCCTCCCCCTGGTTATGGTTAGCATTTGATTGATGCTGTAATTGATTTTCAGAAATATATTTTATGTTATTCATTGTTATAAAGATCGTAATAGAAAAAATGGAAACAAATTCTTTTTTCTTGCTGACATGAAATACCATCCGCAGTCCGTGGTGAGTTGAGAACAGGACAGCACTTTGTTTTTATAGTTAATAGTGTGGGAATGTGTACCTGGGCGGTTTTTTGTTTGCTTCAGTTCAGATCCGATACGTTATACTCCTAATTTAACTTCATTTCAACTCATTTTATACTAAAATGATAATTTATTCATCTTAAATCCATTCTAAAATATAATTTTTTGTTTGATTTGACACATATTTTAAAGAAAATACATAATTTTAAACTCTCAGAATAGAAAAAAAAAATAGATGAGGGACGAGGAATGGAGGATGGAAATGTGAAGAAATAGAAAGAAATCTTAAGCATAGAAATTATTTTATATATATATCAAGTTGAAGTAGAACAGTTTTGTTTTTTTACTTTTTTACATTATATATGATCCAATCCATCTTAAATTTTGATTTCAAAAAATTTCTAACTCTATCAAATTAAATAAAAATTATCAAGTTCAAAATTGTCATCTCCACTTTTTTGACTTTTGTGTATTTAGAGGATAATTTTTCATGTTTATATATATATTTTTTAATAATTTGAGATGATGTAAAATAATATTTGTGCACGATTGTTTTTAATCATTGACGATGTATATACCTTAACTTCTTGAATCTAAGACTTAAAGAAAAATTAATCTTTAATTATTACGATCACTTAATAAATTTTTTATATAATTTTTTTATTTTAATCATTAAGATCAATCAAGAGATTGTTTATATAATTTCTTTATTTTAATATTGGGTATATATCAACAAATGAACAAACTGAAATACTGGGTTTTTTTCTCTGTAGTTGCAGCTTCTCTTCTTTTTGTCTACTTTTGGTTTTATGAGTAGCCAATTAGTTCATTGCGGCCGCCCCAGGCCATTCGGGTTTGGGCAGTCATCCAACATCACAGCTACCCGTTCTATGGAAAATTAGAAAAAGAACATAGATGATATGAATTTAGTTGATCCACAAGGGTAGAGCCGTCTCTGCAGACGGGGAACGCCATGCGATTCTGCAATTTGAAAGGTGGAGGTATGAAAGAGGAAGAATGAAAAAGAAAAGATTGCAACCTTGAAAACGAATGCCTCTATTTATATAAAAGTAACAAAGACGGTACCCTGGGAATAGCAACAGAATTCATGTTTCCAATAACCCAAGAATTATAAGATGCTTAAAAATCATTTCAATAAATTGGCCTGGCCGCGGACACAACACATTCAACGCCTAAAAACGAAAATCAAAATCCGATTAAGAAAAATGACGAATTGCTTAGTCAACTTCCTCGATCTTGGGGCCAGCACCGGTTCCAGCGGCTGGGGCATCCTCACCCATGCCTGCACCAGCGCCTTGGTACATCTTTGCAATGATAGGGTTGCAGATACTCTCCAATTCCTTCATCTCGTCTTCAAATTCATCTGCCTCTGAAAGCTGGTTGTTGTCTAGCCACTGGATGGCCTGCTCAATTGCATCTTCAATCTTCTTCTTATCTTCAGCACCAAGCTTACCACCAATCTTCTCATCCTTCACCGTGTTCCTCATGTTGTACGCGTAGTTCTCCAATGTGTTCTTTGCCTCAACTTTCTTCTTGTGCTCTTCATCTTCAGACTTGTACTTCTCTGCTTCCTGGACCATTTTCTCGATCTCCTCCTTGGAAAGCCTTCCCTTGTCATTTGTAATGGTGATTTTGTTCTTCTGTCCGGTGGTTTTGTCCTCAGCAGACACGTTCAAAATGCCATTGGCATCAATGTCGAAACACACTGTGATCTGTGGGACACCTCTAGGAGCTGGAGGGATACCAGAGAGCTCAAATTTACCTAGCGAGTTGTTATCTTTAGTCCTTGTTCTCTCACCTTCGTACACCTGGATCAACACACCAGGCTGGTTGTCAGAGTATGTAGAGAAGACTTGCTCCTTCTTGGTGGGAATGGTGGTGTTCCTCGGAATCAAAACGGTCATCACACCACCCGCAGTTTCCAAACCGAGCGAGAGTGGGGTGACATCCAAGAGCAAGAGATCCTGCACCTTCTCATTACCCTCACCACTCAAGATTGCGGCTTGTACTGCCGCACCATAGGCAACAGCCTCGTCGGGGTTGATGCTCTTGCAAAGCTCCTTTCCATTGAAGAAATCTTGCAAAAGTTGCTGAACCTTGGGAATTCTAGTAGAACCACCGACAAGAACAACGTCGTGGACGCTGCTCTTGTCCATCTTGGCATCCCTCAAACACTTCTCCACCGGTTCCATGCATTTTCTGAAGAGATCCATGTTAAGTTCCTCGAATCTAGCACGGGTGATGGTTGAGTAAAAGTCAATACCCTCATACAAGGAGTCGATCTCAATGGTGGTTTGGGCAGTTGATGAGAGAGTTCTCTTTGCCCTCTCACAAGCAGTCCTCAACCTTCTAAGAGCTCTGGGGTTGCCACTAATGTCCTTCTTGTTCTTCCTCTTGAACTCTTGCACAAAATGGTTCACCATTCTATTATCAAAATCTTCTCCTCCAAGATGAGTGTCACCGGCAGTGGCCTTCACCTCAAAGATACCCTCTTCAATGGTAAGAAGAGAAACATCAAATGTACCACCACCGAGATCGAAGATCAAGACGTTCTTCTCACCAACACTGGTAGCCTTCTTATCAAGACCATAAGCAATGGCAGCAGCAGTAGGCTCGTTGATAATACGCATGACATTAAGACCCGCAATGACACCAGCATCCTTTGTTGCCTGACGCTGAGAGTCATTAAAGTATGCAGGGACAGTAACCACGGCATTCTTAATAGTAGAGCCAAGGTAGGCCTCAGCAATCTCACGCATCTTTATGAGGACCATAGATGAGATCTCCTCAGCAGCAAATTGCTTCTCCTCACCTTTGTAGGAAACAACAATCATGGGCTTATCACCAGGCCCAGGGATGACCTTGAATGGCCACAATTTCATATCACTCTGAACAGCAGAATCGCTGAATCTACGACCAATCAACCTCTTTGCATCTGCAAAATATCAATTCACATCAGATCACCCAAACCAGATTTAAAAGATGATGAATTAAATAAGAATATAACCTTCTCAATATATAAATTTATATGAATAACCAATAATAATTTCACATATCGAAATTGCTTATACAGTTCAAACTTCAATAGAGTTAGATTCAGATCTGAATGTGAATCTAAGGTCGAGCAACATCCATTCCTCATTAAATCTTTCACAATCTTAGGAAAGCTAAGATACAACTTCTTAATCAAAACTAATCTTATCACAGATCTAAACTAAACTAACAGATCCAAATCCAATCGACATCAAAAAAGGAAGTAAAGTTTTAACTAAAAGAAAAACGAAAACAGAGTTAAAGCTTACCAAAGACGGTGTTCAAAGGATTCATGGCGACCTGATTCTTTGCAGCATCACCGATCAAACGCTCGGTGTCAGTAAAGCCAACATAAGACGGCGTCGTCCTGTTACCTTGATCGTTGGCAATAATCTCAACACGATCATGTTGCCAAACGCCAACGCAAGAGTAAGTGGTTCCGAGATCGATTCCGATTGCCGGACCTTCACCTTTACCGGCCATTACTTTTTTTTTCTATTTGTTGTGTAAACGGAGATTAACAGAAGCGAGGGGGTGGACGAAACAAAAAATAAGCCAATTGGAAGACCGATGGTTTCAACTTTTAAGTTAACAGCGAGGGAGGAGGAGTTAATTTATATAGAGATTTTCTAAATTCGTTTCCAGAATGTTCTAATCCCCAGACTTTAACCACAACAACCCCACACTGCACATCAAACTATACCTCACCTGAGCTTGCACACACCCCTCCTTTAAACCGAAGCCTCCACAGTGTAGCCACCAACTAAAACCTTAAACATCTCTTTGAAACCTTAATTCTCAAGTCTATTTGAAGGCTAAAATTGAAAACAAAAAGGGGTACAAATAAAATGAGGTAAACTATATATTTAGTATCTAAACTATTGATTTTGTTTTATTTTGGTATCCAAATTTTCTTTTTTTAAAATATACCTAACGTTTAGTTTAAGTTTCAATTTGGTATCCCGCTATTAAAAAAATAACAGAAATATTGATCTGTCATTTTTTTTATTTTTTTCAATGATGATGTGACATTACCTTATAGAGACACGTCAACATCACCATTAAGTTCTTAATAGTAGCATGCCAAAATGAAACTTAAATTAATAGTTGGTTATGGTTTTGAAAGGTATAAAAAATAATAATAATTTAAGTACCAAACATGTATTTTACTCAATAAAATATGTAATTCTATACAACTAAAACTTAAATCCCAAAAATCAGGGGTAAAAAAGATAAAATTTATAAGGGTTTGAAGACTAAAATAGATAAATTTTTAACACTAAATTATAAAAATAAAATTAAATTATAACGTTAGATATAATTTTTAAATAAATAGATGAGTGATTAAAATAAAATAAAAGTAACATATGCGTAGTTTACGCAATTAAATTTTTCAAAGCTGACGCCCAATTCCCGAATGGCGGCATCTAATTACAGCTGTTCTCAATGGACCGACCGTCCAAGAAGATTCTACGTAGAAGAACAAAATTTCTATTTTACTTTTCGTCTTCGTCGGCCAAAACGCATTATGCATTAAGCAAGATGTCATGTGAAAAGGCGTAAAAGGTCATTGTGCACATGCCGTATATTTTTTTTACCACGTGAGATGAATTTTATATACATACAGATATAATTATCTTTGAAAATTTTAAATTATTATATATATTTTTTAAATTTTTAAATTTTTATTAATAAATCATTTTTATTTATAAAATTTTACAAGTTTATTATCCCTAAAATTTTAGAAGTTCATTCATTCAAACATAAAATCTTATATCTAACTTTGTATACATGATCGATTGAAGTAAGAGGTGTACAAGTTAACTTGTAACAATTATTAGTTGTAATCATTAATCACTGTAACTATTACATCTTACATATTAATTAAAAAAATTATTAAAATTAAGTAATTTTAATTAATCGGATCGCTAAAAAATGACAATTAATGATTATAATTAATAGTCACATTTCTTGCTTTCAAAATGCTTGTACAGTCTTACAATGATCAGAATGTCTAGTACTCCTAAATTCATTTCAACAATGTAAATGCCATATATATAGATTATGAAGTTCTATATGCAATGCTGTTGCTGAGAAAGTTTCTTTGCAGGATTTGAATTCTCGACACAACATGAAAAGTTCTGTAATGATGACATTCCGAGTGCACCACCATTTTCTAGCTCAGTGAAGGAAGATAAATAAGATTCTCAACATATTTCAGTGATTGTGGTACAAAGTGTCAGTGGTGCAGTCGATTCAAGTTATCCAAAGACATTCAATTCTATGTCAAGAATTGAGCCTGAGCAGAATACAAGTAACAAAAAGTTCTAATGAATGTAATAAGGTTAATGCAATCATTCTACTTGATGCTTATTGGAAAATTAATCTTGTGGTCATCATCGTCTAAGTACAAGAATCAAAACAAGATGGACAAGGCGGAGAGTTCGTTGATAAAGGAGTTTAGGGCTGTAAACGAATCGAACTTTCAACGGTCATGAATCGTTTGTTAAAAAATTCGTTTATTTATTAAATGAGCGAACATGAACAAGATTTTATGTTTACATAATTAAATGAATTAATACGAATAAAGGGCTCGTTCGTGATTGTTCGGTAATCCATTCGTTTATGTTCGATAATTCATTCGTTTATATTCGGTAATTCGTTTGTTTATATTCGGTAATTCGTTTATTTATGTTTATATGTTTAATTAAATTTATAATTATCTCCATTTATTTATATTCTTTTAAAAAAATTTGCTTGATTTAAAATAAAGTTACATTTTACGTTAGTTCGTATACGTTTATTTGTGCTCGTTTGGATTCATTTATCATTTTATCGAACGTACATAAACAAGTTACGTTCCTTAACGAACAAACATGAACAAAAGATTATGTTCGTTTAGTTGTTCGTGTTCGTTCGGTTAAAATTAAATGAATAAATATGAACATACATTTGTTCGTGTCCATAGGATTCGTTTACATACATAAAGAAATTGAAGTTTAGATGAGAAAACGGAGGGATGGTTTCGAAGCTTGAGAGGGGGAGGATCGGACTCCTGCCTATGTATGATTGAGGCAATGATAGCGGCGATAACACAATTTCTTTTAGTATCATGAAGAAAGTTTTGACTATGTTAAGCAAAAAAAAAAAAAGAACATGAACGAAGATGAACTTCACATGGAGAATTGTTTTCGTGTTTTAGTATATTTGTGGCCATAAAATTTTCATAGTTTGGAGTGGAACTCGTTGGGTGACTGAACTGATGAAAAAAGAGAGAATAATTTATATCAAATTTGTGTGATCAAAACGGTATCAAGCAAGCCAACCTAAGTGTCTAACGTGTTGCATCGGCCTTGTGTTACTTGGGACAACGGTTGTTAATAACCTTGTTAATAACCGAGTAACCGGTTTGTTATAAAATTAGGCATGTAAACGAACACGAACTATGATATATTCATGTTCGTTCGTTAAACTTTAACCGAACAAATGAACGAACATGAACATAATCGAACAAAAAATTTCTTGTTTGTGTTCGTTCGTTAAGGAATGTAGCTTGTTCGTGTTCGTTCATTTAAATGATAAACGAACACAAATGAACAAACATAAACAAATGAATGTAAACGAACACAAACAAACGATTGTAAACGAACACAAACAAACGATTGTAAACGAACAAACGTAAACGAACACAATAAATGAACATAAACAAATGTAAACGAACATAAATGATTTTTTTTTCTTTCCTAACAATTTTATGATTATATTATATTTAATTGTTTTGAGCTTTTTTGTATTTAAAATTAATTAAATTTTAAAATATTTATGGGGTACAAGATTAAAACTTATTGGACTTTAATATTTTAAATGGGGCTAGAGAGATTGAGCTAAACATAAATAAACACACATAAACGAACGAACATAAATGAACTAAGATAAATGAACGAACATATTACCAAACGTTCACGAACGTAAATGAACGAACGAGCCCTCTATTCACGTTCGTTCATTTAATTAAACGAACACAAAATCTTGTTCATGTTCATTCGTTTAATAAATAAATGAACATAAACGAATTTCTTGCCGAATGGTTCACGAACGGTTCGTTAAACGTTCGGTTCGTTTACAGGTCTATATAAAACTATAATATTTGTGATTGTTTTATTAATTTTAAAACAATAGTGGGAAAAAAGGAAGTCGTGCATACTTTAGTATTCACTTATATAATTTACCCTTATTATTATTTGCAAATTACAAGGAAAACCAATAGGCATAACATTGGCATTTGTGACTGCTTGGTCTGCCACACTGAAAGAAGCTCTCAGCATGGTAGCAGACGATTCCTTTGAACTGGAAGCCAAGCGCAAAGAGGACTCATCTTGGCACCCTTGTCGAGTATCCCTCAGGTCATTCCCTCCTTCAAATCATTGAGTTGCCCTGTTTTTCTCTCTATTTTTTCGCAACATTGTCTTTTCAGTTTTCAATAATCTCTGTTCCACGTTATGAAGAGACCCCCAGCTTGTTCGATAAATCGTGGATTGATTTATATATAATTTTCCGACTTCAAACTATCACTGATCACTGGGTTTTATTTCATTCACACAAAGGTTAATAAGAAGAAAAGAGAGATTTAGAGAGGGTAGATTTTACTCTTAAAGTAATTGTTCCATCTGTTGTAGGATAATGTTTTTAAACTTGCATTTGCATTGACAGTTTTTATGTTTAAAATGGATTGCATTGATGATCGTACGATTAATTTATTTGGGTACCTTTTAGAATTATGTTTCCACATTGGATTTTCAATGATTTGAAGTGTGAATTCTGATCAATTTTCTTCACAGCTGTTCTGGAGAAAGACTGGTTGTAAATTTCGGGAGCCACGAGCTGGAAGATATGCTGTTGAAGAAGGAAGAAGTTTTTGTATGTATCAAGATGATGACTGCTGCCACATTGATGAAGGCGAACGAGTTCTTGTCAACCGCAAATTGCAATCCAAAAACCTCTTCCACGATGCTGCTGTGGAAAAGGTGCACTTCTATCTTCATATAAACTATAGATTATGTTAGACAAGTATGGCGAGTATCAGTTTATCAGTCTTCAAAGCGAAGTTGCATTCTCATGTGTTTTAGATCTTATATACATGATTGAAGTAACATCACTGTCTTTGATTGATAGAATTAAACATATGCAGTTATGTTATTAAAAAAAACTAGTTGCTACTATCAATTTATTGTCCTATTCAGCATGAACCATCAAACCATGGTCTAGGTGATAAACTTAAAGAAGTAGCTAAAGTATGAAAATCAGTTCTCAAAATAATTGTAATGTAGATGTTGATGGAAATCTCATTGAAAGTGTAGAGCCTCAGAAACTGATAATAGTATCAAGTATCTCTTTTCCATAGCTTAAAAAGCAAGTTACACGAGTTCATAACTATGTTCCTTAGTGTGCTCCAATAAGTTCATAGTGAAGATATATTCATTGAGTTGCCTTTGGTAGTTCTAAACATTTCTGTTTGTTCATTTTCTCACAAACTTGTCATTAGCAGGTGGAAAGAATTCGACACTTGAGAAGGAGCTGTAGATGTACTTTCATGATCAAATGGCTCGATAACGACCTTGAAGGACAAACCCTTACCGTTCCATCAAGTTCAATCATGAAGCTTGCTACCAAGAGCATCAGTGACTATCCAGTCGTTCATATACTTTTAAAACCAGAAAAAGATGCAGATTTATCATATTCATCTCCTTTATTGACCACTCCCGACGAAAATGATGCTAACATAGAACTTAATAAGTTGCTGCAAAAGCAAATAGAACAGATTAGCAACTTAGCTGATGCACCTGAGAAAGATTTTCCAGATGATTTTCTATGGAGAAACAAAGGTAAGCATCTTGGCTATTGCCATTATTAGAAAATACCAATGCAGACTTTTTTACAATTTGTTTTACCTTAAACACAGATCATGTCTCCATGCAGATAATTATCACCATCCTTGTCTTTGGTTTTATACTGTGTTCTCAGCACAGTATGGGACATGGTGAACCTTATGTTTTATTTTAACTTTTCCCTCTCAATGAATTGGGACATGACTCTATCTGTTACATATGCTGGTTGGATTTTACTTTCCCAGATCTGGTACATATGCTGGTTGGATTTTACTTGCCCAGATTATGACTTTTTGTTTCTTTTATGAATTCGGATTTCAACGATTTTTATAAGGAAATAGACCGTCTCAATAAGAATTTTTTTCTTAGCATTTGATAAGTATTATTGATGTGTTTCTATGTATGGCAATTTCTGTGGATTTTACACTGATGCAAGATATGTTAATGTTATAATTTAGAAGTGCCGTAACCGAATATATGCTTTGCAAAAAACATGGAGAGAGATAGTGACGTTGAGAGAGTAAAATTGAGAGGGGAATTTTCTTCAGAGAATGTTTGGACGGCGTTCGTTGATCATCTCAGTAAAAGAGTGTCTCGACGAGAGTTAAGGGAGTTGTTTTCATCTCACTGTCCGGTAGTCAGAGTGTTCATTCCCAGAGAAACAAGGAATCCGAAATACAAATTCTTCTCTTTTGCTTTTGTGCATTTTGGCAATGAGGAAAGTCTAAGAAGGGCGATAGCCAAACTGAATGGTTCGATGATTGATGGTTGGAGGATTTCAGTGGGTACTGCAAGATACAAGGATGCTAGGGTGAGGTCAGTCGGGAAGAACACTTCTTTGGTGATGCCTTCAAGGTCGAACACAGAAGATCTTTAAAGGTTCAAAGAGAAAGGTGTTATTAACAGGAGTGTAAGGGATACAAGATCTTACAAGGAGGCCTTACTGTCTGATAGATTGAAGAACAATGCATCGGACCATAGGGATCGGTCGATCGATGGTTTCAACAGGAGGAAAGGTATAAAAAATAGTTGGGAAATGCATATTCCGTCTGAGAGCTCCAGTTGGGTGAAGAGATCATTAACGGGGATCATCAAACATTCTTTTGAGTTCGAATTAGTCCAGAAGGCCTTAGTTAATGAAGGTTTTGATGTCCAGATCTCCAGATGGGGTTATGTATGGAATTCGTGTGTTATTACATTTAAGTCGACTGAAGAAATGATGGATGCATGGCTAGAGAAAAAGGATGAGTTATTTTTCTGGTTTGATAGGTTGGCACTTTTATTGAACGATGATGGTGTTCCAATGGCTTTTTGCCTCGTACATCTGTTTGGGGTTCCATTGTTATGTTGGCAAAATTCCTTTTTGGAACGGGTAGCAGGAAAGTGGGGATTGGTGGAAGAGATTCATGAAGATACAGTTATCAGAGCAGACCTATCGATGGTGAAGATTTTGGTTAGGGTGGCCAGCCCTTATGACGTCCCTGAGGAGATAACTATTGGATCCTATGGAAGATCGTTCAAAGTTAAGATTAAGCTGGGTTCGGTGCTTGAGTATTCTTCCGTTTCCTTTAACAAGTCGCCGGTGGGAGGTTCCGACGATAGACAATTTGGTGAGGAATTTTCTGGAGACAAGGTTGACAGTAGTCTGTCAGATAGCATGGAAAGTGCTGAACGTTCAGAAGAAAACAGCAGACAAAAGGTAGATATTTGGTTTGACCAAGGAGCTAACACGGGTTTGGTTGGAGTTGGTGAGGAAATTCAACTCCCAACGTTTAACAAAGGTGGGAAAGGCATTAATTGTGTGCTGACAGCGTGTCAGGATCTTGGGACTAACAATTTTGGTGAATACGCGGGTTTGGGATGTAGATTTTCAAATTTTTCGGCTGATGGGTCTATAGCCCAATCATCAGATAATGGGCAACTTGGTTCTCCACCTCTAAAAATTATTCCAGCTGGGCCTGGTGTTAAGCTGGATAAATTTGGGAAAATGGACCAGAAGCAGTTTCTGGTTGAATCTGCAAACTCAAAGGAAGATAAAAATGGAGGTCTGCCACTTTCTGGTTTGAGAAAGTGTTCTAGAGGATTGGAATCAAATTTAGAGGAAAAGCCGATTGACTACATTTTATGTTCTGGAAGTAAGATTTCCAGGGGAAGAACGCTTGATCGATCCAACTCTCCATTGACTACAAAGAGTGAACCGTTGGAAAAGAGAAGTATTAGCTTCAAAAGGGTCTACAAGAGATCCAGGGAGAGAAGACATTGGTTAGAGAAAGATGAAATTGTTGTTCCTCGAGAAGAGGAATCTCTAGAGAGGCTAAATGGGAAGATTTTGGATCCTAATTCAGTTCTGCCGGTCAGTGCAGTTGCATAACCTAATTTGGAAGGCTGTATGGGGTCTACTTTGGAGAGACAGGTTGTTGACAGCAGTTTGGATAGTATGTGGGAAGGGTGGCACTTAGAAGGAGATAGTTATTCCTTCAACTCTAAGTCCTTTAATAGAAGAGCCAAAAGATTGTTGACCAGATTGGCATTGGATCAAGTCAGCATTGAAGCTATAGCTACTTGGGAAATCAGTAATAGATTGGGTGTGTCTTTCAAGGGTGGGAAATCAACTTTTTTGGAGAAAATCATAAAGTTGGAGGAGGATTTGAGGCTGGTTTGATTTTCGGTGTTTATTGGGTTTTCTAATACTTTTTTGAATCATGATGAAATTTCAATTAGCCATTATTACGTGGAACGTTAGGAGTTTGGGAAGGAAGGAAAAACACAGAGCTGTTCAAAATCTAGTTTTAAAGAGACGTCCTATTCTTCTTCTATTGCAAGAAACAAAAGTGGAGAAGGTTCAGAGACAATTTCTAAGGAGAAGTGGTTTGAATACTCTTCAAGGTTTTGCAGAATCTCCAGCAGTGGGTTCTTCTGGAGGGCTATTGAGTTGCTGGGATGAGTGCTCTTTTGAAGTTGACAACCTTATTATAAACAGAAGGTTTATTGCAGTTTTTGGAAAGTTTCGAACTTCACAGTTTAGGTGTGGTTTTATTAATGTTTATGGGCCTAGTATTGAAGAAGAGAAAGCAAGCTTCTTTGAAGAGTTAGCTGTTTTTATTTGTGGACTGAATATCCCTTTATGTGTGGGAGGTGATTTAATGTGCATCTTTCTGAAGAAGAGAAGGTGGGGAGAGCTCCAAACAGAAGTTCAATAAGAATTTTCAGCCAATTTCTGCAACATACAGGGTTAATTGATTTACCTTTACATGGGGGCAGATTCACTTGGTGTAACAACCAAGATTTACCCACCTATGTTAGACTGGACAGGTTCCTCGTTGATGTTCATTTCCTAGAAGCATTTCCTGATGTTACACAATACTTGTTGCCAAGGTCAGTGTCAGATCATAATGTTGTTTTTCTGGAGAATGAGGGGGTCAGTTGGGGGAAGAAACCTTTCAAACTCTTTAATTATTTGATGGAAGAGGACGGTTTCCAGAATTTAGTTGAGTCTACTGTTAAAGAATGCAAGTCTGATCAGAGGAAAGCAGGAATTCTATCTATCCTGAAATCTATTAAACTGTCGATCAAACAATGGGCGGGGAAGAGAGACCATTTTCCTTCTGTAGAGATTACAGATTTAGAAAAGAGGATTCACTTGGAAGAGGTGAACTTGCAGCAGAGGCAAGGTACATATGTTTGGGACACAGGATCAGATTTGAACAGTATGAGATCAGAATTATGGAGGTTGTATAAGATTGAAGAACAAATATGGTTTCAAAAATCGAGAGCTAGATGGGTGGAAGAAGGGGACCGCAATACAAGATTTTTTCATACTTGTGCGTTGATTAGGAGAAAGAGGAATTCCATGAATGCTTTGAATGTCAATGGAGAGATAACTCAAGATCCATATGTCATCAAAGCTTGTGTCAAAGATCATTTTTTTGGAATTTACAACTCTAGTTCTACTTTGGAAGTAGAAGATATGAAGATGAATTTTTCAAAAATTTCAGTGGAGCAAAGTAATATTCTGGAAAAAGAATTCACGGAGGAAGAAATATAGGAGACTCTACAATCATGTGATAGCAACAAAGCTCCCGGCCCGGATGGTTTTAATATGGGCTTCTTCAAGAAATTTTGGGTTGTTCTTAAGGTTGATATTCTGAAATTCTTTCATAACTTTTATTTAGGGAAAGATTGGGAACATGGAGTAAATCATACTTTCATTACTCTTATCCCCAAGGTGGCCAATATTGGTGGATTAGATGACTATAGACCTATAAGCCTTGTAGGAGGTTTGTACAAGATCCTCTCAAAATGTCTTTCGAGGAGATTAAGGAATTGCATTTCTGATGTAATGAGCCCTATGCAGTTTGCTTTCATTCCAGGTCGTCAAATTCTGGATTGTTCTCTTATAGCCAATGAGGGGATTGATTTTTGAAGGAAAAAGGGACTCAAAGGATGTGTGTTTAAAGTGGATTTTAGAAGGGCATACGACACTGTGGATTGGTCTATTCTTTTTAAGGTTATGGAGAAAATGGGTTTCGGTTCTAAATGGAGAAGTTGGATAAAACAATGTGTTACTACTGCTTCTATTTCAGTTTTGATAAATGGGGTACCTTCTCAGGAATTTCCTATGGCAAGGGGTCTCCGCCAGGGTTGTTCTCTTTCGCCCTTGCTTTTTAACTTAGTTGGGGAACTCCTAAATGTCTTGCTCTTAAAGGCTGTCTCTGATGGATTGTTTTCTGGTCTGCATATTGGGAGGAATGAGACTGCTTTCAACTTATCTCATCTGCAATTTGCAGACGACCTAATTATTTTCTGTGGGGCTTCGAAAATGGAGATTTCAAATGTTAAAGGGTCTTAAGAGTGTTTGAAGTTATGTCTGGTCTGCAGTTGAATCTTAAGAAAAGCAAGTTATTTGGTGTTAATACGGCTACAGAGGAGGTGGAGGAGTCGGCGTCGTCTATTGGCTGTGCAGTGGGGAAATTTCCTTCTGATTATCTAGGTCTGCCGCTTGGTGCAACACGGAATTCAACCTCTCTTTGGGATCCGGTTGTTTCAAAATTTAACAACAAACTAGCAGGTTGGAAAGCTGCCACCCTTTCCTTGGCAGGGAGATTAGTTTTGATTAAATCGGTTCTCTGTTCTCTTCCTACTTACTACTTGTCTATATTCAAAATTCCATCATCCGTAACTTCTAAACTCAACTCAATCATGTCTAAGTTCTTATGGGGAGGTGGAGCGGAGAAAAATAAGATTCATTGGGTTAGTTGGCTTAACGTGTGCAAGCCAAAGGAGGCTGGTGGTTTAGGAGTGTTAAATATTAGCAATATGAACAGAGCACTATTGGGGAAATGGTCTTGGAGATTTGCTAATGACAAGGATGCTGTTTGGAGGAGAATGATCTGTTCAAAATACAATATTGATCCTTTTTCTTTATTGTTCAATAGCAAAATCCCAGCTCAAGCTTCTTGGATTTGGAGCTCGGTGGTGAATTCTTATTTTAAAGAAGACTCTTTTGGTTGCTATTTCCGCAGTATGTTCAGACTAGGAGTTGAGAATGGTCAATTTATTCAGTTTTGACAGGACAAATGGGCAATGGACTGCCCTCTTAAGGTTTCTTTTCCGAGGCTGTTCGCAATCTCTACAAACCAGTTTGGAAAACTGATTGAATTTGGCGAGTTCAGTTCTTTGGGATGGATCTGGAATATTCAGTTGAGGAGAAGCTTAGCCGATTGGGAATTTGAACAGTGGGCTAACCTGATGGCTATCATTTCTAATTTTTGTCTGTCTAAAGAGGCAATCGATGGTCTGATTTGGAAAGGAAACGGAACTGGTGTCTATTCTGCTAATTCATGTGTGAAGACTTGTTCTTTGGCTCAGAAGGAGGATTATGTTTGGAAGAAATTTGTGTGGAAAGGTCTGGTGCCACCAAGAGTCGAGGTATTCATGTGGCAGGTAGTTCTTCAAAAACTACCAGTGAGGTCTGAACTGGTTAAGAGAGGGGTTACGGGTATAACAGATCTTTCTTGTCCTCTATGTAATTTGGAGGTTGAATCTTCTTCTCATTTATTTTTCTCGTGTTCAGTTGTGTGGTCACTTTGGAACAAATTTGTGCGGTATTGGAGTCTTTCTGTGGTTTTTCATACAAATGCGCAGAAGTTTCTTCAAGCTTGGGAAGATCTAAATCCTAGGTCTGCTATTTGGAAGTTCATTCCTGCCGTTGTTATTTGGACTGTTTGGAAAGTAAGAAATGATATTGTTTTTGATAGAGGGAAGTTTGACCATCTTAATCTATTTTTCCTAGCAAGAGTACGACTTGCATCTTGGTTCTCAGCTAAGTTTGCAGATTCTGTTATTTCAATGGATTCTCTAATCGGGACCCTTCTCTTGGGGATTCATGCTTTCCTCTCAACAAATCGATTGTTACTACAATTCCTTGGTCCCCCCCTCCTAAGGGCTTTGTAAAATTGAATGTGGATGCAGCTACAAATTCTGATTGGAACAGCAGTGGAGTTGCGGGTATTCTAAGAGATGAGGAAGGTCTTATTCTAGGATCTTTTAAGGAGGCCACGGGTCCAGGTCCACCTATTATGATGGAGCTAAGGGCTATTCAGAAGGGCTTAATTTTCTTTGATTCAGTGAAAGGAGGTATTAATGGTCGTTTGTTGTTAGAATCAGACTGCAAATTGGCAGTGGATTGGGTTAAGAATGGAACTTTCTGCCCTCAGATTTTTGTCATTCTTGTAAGGAACATAACAATTAAGCTAAAAGAAGTTGAGGGTGTTATTAGATGGGTTGCTCGGACAGCCAATATTGAGGCTGATGGGTTGGCTAAATCCGCCATTGGCTAATTCCAGTGTGTCTTAGGGGTATTTTATGTTGGGATTTTCAAATTGTTGTAAGGGGCTTATCTTCTTGTTGTAATCTTATGTATTTTCATTAATGAAGTTTAAGGCACTCTTTTCCTCCTTCCTCTGATGAAGGAACTCATTATAAGTTCCTTATTCAAGAAGGGGGTTTTTAATGAGGCCTACAATTCCTATCAAAAAAAAAAAACAAAGAATTTGCTGCATTTTCAGTTATGCTATGAATGAAAATCCAGAATATCTTTAAAAAAAAATAATTTAGAAGTGCCTACGTGCCATACATATCCTATATACCAAATTCCATTTAGTACAAATCATTATAACTCGATGTCTTCTTTTTCGCAAGCTGTTGATATAATCTTGCCTGTTAATACAGTTCCTAGCAAGGGACAAACACCCTGCAGGCCTACTGTTAAATCCAATGCATGTATTCCATCGTTGAAGAGGATGACACGGGGTAAAACGGAACTGCAAGTGGATATAGAAACCAAGGATCAATTTGGCACTATGGCTTCCATACAAGAAGAATTCATTCAGAATAGGTCTCATCCACTCCCTCTTTCTTTGAGTGCAGCTCTAGCATCATCCTTGTTAAGTGCTAAGAAGCGTCTTGAAATGGATTTTAATTCCTGTATGACTGCCGACATGTTTATGAAAGGTAAACATTCCACGGAAATATTGGCCATTTCCATTCTACTTGTTTCAGATGCTTCCCAAGCAATATCGCCAGTATTTCCAACCAAGGGAGATGCATCATGCAAACCTTCCTCTTGTGTACCAACTAAGGTTTGGGGAAACGAAAATAAGACCTCGGAAAAGATCAACTGTGATGCTGAAGATAGGATCTCTGCTCCTGTGAAGGTTACAGCTGAAATAGTTACCTCTGAAGTTGCTATGACTACTGATCTTGCAATTGCTAAAAATAAGAAATCCTCTGTACTTAAAGATTTTAATGCAAGTTCAACAGCTCCTATGAGATTAACTCGCTCAGCGATGCGGAAAGGGGCTGTGTTTCCAAATGAATGCACTGAGGCTGAGATCTGCACGGACAACAAAAAGAGAAGGATATCTGGGAACAAAAACAAGTTGAGTCATTCAACAGTTCATCAAGAAAATGAAAATTTGGCCAATGAAGAAGAGAACAACGCAACTCCTTTTACAGGTTCAGGTTCATCTGAAAGAAACATTGTTATTCCTGAGAGAAATGTATCTGGAACGGAAAGCACAAAAGACAAAAGATGCCTCTACACCATGTAATGTGAAGCATCATACCCTTAGTACCTTACCAATGAAAAAAGAGCTGGATTGCAGACCTGTTTCTGTTAATTGTTATACATCTCTATATAATGAAAGCTATTAACTTCTATATTATTCTTTGCTCTTTTTGTTGATTCATGTAGTTAATTAGTTCATAAATACCTTCTTAATTTAGGATCTTGCAATGGTTTTGGTATTGCAGGCCTGGCTGGACAGGGTGGTAGGGGTGATCACGGCAAGAAGAGAAAAGTGGTTAATACCAATAAGCAAGGGCGACGTTTTTCACCTCGAAATTTTCTACCCCGGACTCGCTCCCAGACTAGGTCCCACCACAGGAAGCAAGAGTAACTATTAGCAGTTAGAACACTTGCATTGCTAGCTCAGGTGTACCGGACATGATCTATATAGTCAAAACTAACTGTTCTATATAATGAAAATGCTGAGCATGATAAGATGTTGCAGGTTAACAGGGTTATGGATAGTTTCTCTATGAACTGAATGTGTTATCATCAATATGCATCGCTCTTTTGAACTCAGCCATCTGTTATTATTACTATTATTATTCTGCTGTGTGATGCTGAATTGCATATCGGTTGAGTTTACAGCAGACATACTTCCATCGATGCAGTGACGGTATCTCGTGGTTACGGATTAAGGGCAACAAATGTTACACTGAGAAGTTGTCTTTCGTATTGTATTCTGTTATATGCACTGAAGAAAGACGGGGTATTGGAACAAAAAGATCTCTATTAGAGGTCAAGTTCAAGTAAATGTCTGCTGCAGTTTTGAGATTGAACTTCCAAGTGATAAAAGTGCTGTCAATGATAATGCATAGGCCATTGATACTGTTACCATCATTTTCCTGGATCAAATCTAATGCCAAAAGTTATATTTTCTCTGATCTTCAACCATAATCTATTTCTTTTCAATTCCAAATTTCCCCGTTGGCTTCCATCTCTAGCTGCAGATCTTCAATAACTTTTTTTTTGTGAAATTTCATTGCAGAAGCAGTATTTTGAGCCTAATTTCTGGTTCATGGCTTTTCATTGCCGTTGTTACGGCAGGTTCACGCACAAAACTGGCCCTTTTTTGAAATAGTTATCATGTATTTAACAGAGCTCGAGCTCGAATTCTGTGTTGCGTATGAGAACCGCATCCTATGATCTTGGTTCATGAAAAACACCAAATGCGGATGTCTCTACACGACTGAGACCTCAACAAAACAGCATCGAGAAGATTAGGAAATCTGATCTTCAACATACAATGAGAGTCAACACTAAGATTAGGAAGAATGGGGTTGGAAAGAAGCTTAAGAGCCAAAGCAAGTCTAGGGTTATGCACTAATAACTTGATATAAGCCATAGAAATCGAAAAAGAGATGGGAGAGTTCAACAAGGCATGTAAAATTTGATCAAACTGTTAACCAAGCTTGATGCCACACCAAGAATACAACTCATGCAACACTTGTCTACCATTATCTATCTATCCATCCAAAAGGCAGGCTAGCTATGTACAGGGTCATATACAATCTCAATCGCTATAATCATAATATGGAAGTGAACAGAAGTTCCCTTAAGGCTATGCTCGAAAGTGAACAAGTGAACTATGCCTTTAAAATATCCATGAAGTGTACCTATCAAGGAAGACTAAGTTCTTCATGAATCATTAGTTCCCTTAAGGCTATGCTCAAAACAGCATACATTGACTACACTTCATAACAATGCTAACCTTGACAGTAGCTGCATTCCAACATAGTGCCGCCTCAAGGTGCCCCATATGTTAAACCAATTTAATAGGTAAAAGCACTCGTGTATTCAAAGCAAAAAAGAAAAAAATAGTATAAATAAAATACGAGCAAAACAATATCAATTCGATACCATTTATAGCAATATCTTGTTCAAGGTATTTAACAACATTGATTTGTCTTCATTTCTGAAACAACTCTATCATCTAAATATCCATTGCAGACGCTTAAAAAGTGCAAAACCCTCAGTTGCCTTCAAATTTTGGGTCAGCCATCACGAAATGATATGCTATTACAAGCACGAAAATGAAGATTCCAAGGAAATTCGCAAAGAAGCCGAGGTCTTGATCGTCAATCATCTGAAACAATACAAGAAATAGCAAAAGCATAAATCAGTTTCAAAACATAAATATATGATTATTTAATTCCCATATCAGGCTGACAAAAAGCAGATTAAGCCTTTTTTCTATCCTTATCCCTTAACCAAATGCTTATTTCATCTAAACAGAAACCAGATAGGCAAATTAGAAAACCGCAGAAGGTCCAATCGGAGCATCAATACGTGATCTCTCAACCAGTAAAGCTAATTAAACAAGGAATTATTCGCATAAAACCGGTCCTAAAACTAACTACAATTATTTATTTAAAACCCAAATAGGAAACTCACATAATAAACTATGAAGCTAAAATCTCTTAAGAAAAAGAATGAATCTTTCTTAAATTACGAGATCATGAACTCGAAAACCCCAATCATAAAAGTTTACGGTATCAAATAAACGGAAATTTTACGATCTTAATCGTCTCAAAGCGTGCCCTAAAGTTGGAAATTTAAAATTAAAGGTATACAAATTGGGAAATGGGGATTGTGTTATAACATTTGAGAAATAACGGAATATTAGTAGCTAAAAATATATATATTAATGATAGGCTTTAGTTCTCTTACCTTGACAGCTTTTGAGCAATGAAGAGGACGATCCCAAGCAATCCGATTTGTAATTGTTGATCAGAGTTCAGAAAATAAAGAAAAAAACTAGTAGCAGACATGTTCGAGGTCGTTTCTTGAACGACGACGTTTTAAAACTAAAAGAGTAAACTACATAAATGGTCACCTATTTTTAAGTAATATTTATTTTCCCCATTTAACTTTCAGAAGTTACAAAGTAGTCACTAACGTTATAAATTGTAACAAAATAATCACTCACCGTTAACAACCGTTAACGTTGGCGACGGAAAGCTGAGTTGGACCGTTAAATACTTACCTAGACTGTTGACTGCTTACCTGACCCGTTGACTGGTCACCCCACTAGCATCACCATTCTCCTCCTCCTCCACTCCACCATATCTTCCTACTCCTCCGACCTCCACTTCCGTCCCCACAAGGACTCAGATTCTTTCAACCATGTTATTAGAGAAGATATAAACAAGCTCACACGCCGAATTTGACTTGTTACCTCGATCCAAGGTCTTGTCGATTCGCTTTCTGTTCAATAATTCATTTTGGGCCGGGACGGAGTAATAGTATAGCCATTGACCTCGACCTTCCAATGCTCCCTTCTAGATTCAAAGACGAAAGGATCAATGTCTTGGGATTTGGTAAGCGACCCATCTTCGGATGCTTCCTGCAGAGCTTCCATGAGCCTGTTTTCTTGCATTGTCGGAGCATTGAAGGCTTTATGTCCGAGTCCTCCTTCAAACTAGAATCGTTTCTTCTTCTGGTTTTCTTTTCTGCTATTAAAGGTGCACAATGGGATATTGGTTTCCATAATGAAAAGTGCATGAATACCTACCTCTTTTGCACTCTGTCTATAAAAAATCTCGACTAATAAAACCAAAGAAACAAACTTTCTAGTCATGTAATTCAAAGAAGCCTTGAATAAAATTAGAGCAAGTTTCAAACCAGGGCAGTAATGCTGTTCAAAGATTCAAGCTTTAGCTTTTTGTAAATAGCAAACCACTTTACTTTATTTGCCTAAAACATTCAAGAATCAAAATAGCAGAAACGAATATTGCTGAACCAAGAGTCTGCTTTTACAAGATCAAAGATGAAATTGTCATATAGAAGGGGAAAGGGAAAACAAAGTATCTATCTGATTAGAAATGGTCATGTGCTATTTCTATCTTATACGACAATGGTAGTGATGACAATCTCGAGCGAGTCATAAAAGAGCTCAACGAAGAAGGAGATCACAACATCGAAAGAATTTTCTGGGTTTGGCCTAAAACCCAAGAAGTTGGATTCTCTCACGCTGCAGTTTATTTCAAAGATTCATGCGCATGGATGATGTATGTCGATGTCGACGAGTTCATATTCTCACCATCATAGCTTAAGAATTCATCTCGACCATCAAAACAATGCTTATATCTATGTTATCACACCATCCAATCGATCACCCAGTTAAGTTTCGAACTTTCGATCAAGTGCAACGATTTCGGGCCGTCGAATCAAAAGAACCACCCAGAAAAGGGGGTAATACAGGGATACAAATGTAGAAGACAAGCCGAGCAACACCCATCTTTGGAAACTCACCCAAGCTGTTAATTCCAGAGCCATGTCGCTCATGCTTTTCATGGAGCGTGTTTGCATGGGTATCGTCATCATCCTCGTCAAGCTCTTAATAATAACGGTTGATCTGTCAACAGCTTAAGTATGCGGTAAAACGGCCAAGTAAGCTATTAACGGTCCAACTCAACTTTCCGTTACATATGTTAATGGTTGTTAATGACGAGTAATTATTTTGTTACAAGTAATAATGTTAGTAACTAATTTATAACTTTTGAAAGTTCAATGAGAAAAACGAAAATTTACTCAAACGTTAGTGACCATTTGTGTAGTTTACCCTAAGTAAAATTAATTTTGGAGAAATAAGGAAAAACAAAAATTTGTGAAATAAATATTATTTATAATTAATATCTAAAAGTAATATATTTACCAAAAAAAACTATTTTCCCACCCTAATTATTTATAAATGATATACAAATATACTTTATAAATTAATATGTAAAATAATATATTTTTATTACAATAATATTTTATTTTTTAAAATAAATTATAAATAATATTCATAAAATTATATTATAAAATAATGTCATTAATTAAATTAAATTAATTACAACTCTAATTTAAATATTTGATTAAAATTATAATAAAATTATATTGGCCTAACGGTTAAGTGTTGACATCTTTTCTTAATTTTCTTAATCAAAATTATATTATTTTGGATATCAAATAGCATAATAAAAAGTTATTGTTTTGGTGTGACATCTATGTCAGCAATCATTATTTTCGTCATTATATTATTAATAATATGATTAAAATGAAAATAAAAATTAAAGATTTAATGGAAGTGATTAAAAATTCAACAATATGAACAATATATAATTTAAATTTAAATAGTATAGGATGTAGTTTACCTAAATAATTAAACAAAAAAAATGTAATTTACCCCCTCCCCAAAGCCAACTCAAATCCCTGTCACCCGGTACTTTTCTTACATCTAGAGTTTACTGTAAGAAAAAGAAAAAGAAAAACATAAAAACTTCAATGGTTGAGATTTTGAGAAGCATTAGATTCCTGCTAAACAACAAAAGCAGCCTCAACAGACCTAACACTTCCCATTCCTCTTTTTCTCAATCAAACTCCTAGGGTTCCAACAACACAAAATGTATCAGACAAATTAGATTGTGTCCGAATATTAATTAAATTGTTCGATTTACTTGGAACCCAGTAATAGAACAAGGGTTATTCCACTCTCCAGATCCAAGTTCCCCCCCCCCCCTTTTAATTAAATAATTTGTTTCATTTGAAGATAACATTTTAAACCCTTACAGGGTTTTAAAAGGAAGCCATGTCTGCAGGGGTTTGTGGGAAAAGGGTGGGATTTGAAGAACTATTCGGATCCTCTCCCAAGAGATTCAGGTGTTCCAGTTCGGATCCTGGTTTCAGACCCGATGACCCGATTTCAACGCTCTCTGCTTTGGATCCTGAGGTTCATTTCATTTTCTTTTATTATAATCTTTCCATATTTGTTTTGTTTTTAATATTGATACTTGCTTGAATTTAGGCCTTTGGATTCAGATTACTGGGTAGAACATAGATTTTGTTTATCAAAAGCAGGTTGAAACATTGATCATGTCTTAATATTGTTTTATGTTTTAGTTAAGAACATCCGTTGTCCGAAACCACAACAACAAGAATGAAGATTTAAGGAGAGTTCGAATGCATTTGATTCTGTGAGAACTGGAAATTGTACTGATGAGACTGCTACATGTAAGTCGTTTATCTGTTACTTTCAACCGAGTTGTATGTTCTGTTTGTTTGGAATTTACAGTCAGTTTTCTGCTTTGTTATAAATCAGGTAGCCAAATCTCAGGTTACAATGTTGAGTATAACGGAAATGCAGTCGATTCTCCAAGTGGACGGATTTGTTTGTGCAAGAGATGTCGAGTGCGACAAATATAGACGATGCTAAGGCCCGTGCTGCTAGGATTTTAGAAGCCTTTGAGGGAAGTGTTGCCAATAAAAGGGGTGCTGAAGAGGTAGTCAAAAAATAAACTTTTAATTTCTCAGTAAGCTTCGCTCCTGTCCTCAATATGCTGATCCTTTTTCTGTGATACATGATCATGAATCAGATTGAGCATGCTTCTTTGAAGGAACATTTGCGGAGTTTGTTGGATAACAAACAAATTCTGAGGAGAGCTGTTGCCATTCAGCATGAACGCAACGTTGAGCTAGGAGGAAAGGAAACAGAAGTACAACACTTGAAACTCACGCTCAACCATTGCATCGAACAAGCTCGAACATTAGAGGTATTCAACTTTCAACCTCTGCGTCTATTAACTCTCTCTTTACCTGTGCATCGGGGTAAGATTATTAGAGTGACAATGTGGAATTCATTCCGACGTTCGATTCATACCTCCTCTAGTAAGACCAATTGCAAAGCTTACTATAACCTTGTTTTCGGGATGCAGCTGAACAACTACACGATAAGGCTTCATCTTCAGATGGCACAACAAAGTAGCTCAATTAAGGGGCAATTTCCTCCAGACATATACTGAAAGCTTTCGTAGTCCTGTCAGCACTTAATGGCTATGATTCTACTACAGTATATCGGTCATGTAAACCAACGAATGACATGAAGATTTATACAGTGTTGTACTAGTGTGTGTAGTTTGTATAATTCAAGCCAAAATATCAGTTTTTCTTAACAAGAAGCATAACTCCTTTGCTAAAACCTAGAGTGATGAAGAATCTAGAAGTGAGAACTATGAAGATGATCGAGTGAGCAATTATGTGGTGTTTACAACCTTCGTCAAATGCAACATTACAACCTTTGACGTGTATCTTATGAATAGTGAAGTAATTACAAGGTAATATTGTTCAGAGTTTTTCTTAGCCTATAGACAATGTGTATATATCTCACAATAAAACTATTCCAACTCGGATAGTTTAGGGAAACAACATTTTCGTTCACCACTTAATTCAAAAAGAACGACTAAGCATGAAAAGTTGAATGCTGCAAATGATATTCTTAAGAAGATCACAACTCACGATCTCACAATGAGAAACTCGGTTGTTACAAAAAATGCAAAATCTTACATTTCACTATTGTTATAAGAAGATGGTCAGCTCTTTTGTTATTTTTTAAAATGAGACTCAAAATATTTTATATATGGATTACTTTGTTAAAATTAAAATTATGAAAGATTTATTATAGAAAATAATTAAAGATATTGTCAAAATCTTCGTTTGTAACTTTTTCTGTCATTTTTCTGAGAATCAAAGGAAAGTTTGTTTTCCTTCGAACGAAAATATAATTAGGGCACAAAGATTATACATGGACGGACCTAAATAGCATTCATATTTGTGTTCTCAAATTTGAAACCCTGTGATGTATTACAAGCTATACTTGTACTTATTGATATAAGTTGAAGAACCAACGAAGGTGTAACAATGTGTTGATCCTCGTGCAGCAGTAAGTCAGTGTATTCAGACATAATCGTTTTTAAAGCAAGGAGGTGAGACCATCCCCTAAATTTGAGAAGAACAAAGGCATTCTGCCATTATTGTATAGTTGTTTTCGTATTAAGCCATGATGTTTTAAATTGTTAAATGATCTAAGACGAGAAACGTTCAAAGCTGTTCCATCATATGCTGCAACATTTCATACAATAATGATTTAACTGAAGCTCGTACGAGTAAGAAAGATTAATTGTTTTCGTATATAGATATGTTTCCACAATTATGAATTTTAATCTAACACTATGAATGTACTTAAAGGAGGGGAAAGCCCTTTGGAACAAATGACAACTCTTGCAAATGAAGTTGTATTTATCCCTTTGGATAATAGTTTGTTCAAGTTTAACGATTATTTATAATTTTTTTAAAAGTTTAATGATTGTTTTATGACTTTCGAAACTTTAATGACTAAAATAATCATTTTATTATAATCTAATGACCATTTATATACTTTATCCAAATTGCAAGGACTTCATGAATTAAGCTGAACTTTGGAAACGACATCGTTAATACCGCGATCCTCACTTTTACTGCGCAGTAAAAAAGTGCAGCCTTAACTTTCCGATTCCCGCCGCATCCGACAGTTTTACCGGCAATGGCTCCCAAAAGTCGCAACAAAAGCGACGGCAATGCCACCCAAGACGACAGCTATGACGGCAGTTCATCGTACTTCCAAAAAACAGTAAAAAGTTTCGGCTTTCTATCTTCCCTGCAATCAGAACTCTTAGTCAATGGCAAACATTTATCTTTTTTCCTGTTTATTATTTTTTAGGTTTGTTTGCAAGATTGGTGGTTGGTTAAAGCCGAAAAAGAGTTCGAAGGAAGGAGATTAGCTGTGCAGGGTCCACATCCATAGAGTAATATCTCTTTAAGCTTCAGGTTTTTCTGGGATTTTTGTTTTGTTTTGTTTTGTTTTTTTTTATTTAAAGAATTTGTGTGAAACAGGTCAAAAGCGTTTCGGCTATTTACCTCTGCACCGATTGTAAAAGCTTACAATGTTTTTACTCTCCAGACAGCTGATGGAATTTGTGTTTGCATCAGGTTTCATCAACGAACAACGAACCATTGAAAATGGGTTTTCTTCTGAGGTATACTAGAAATTCGATTTCTTCCTTTAATGTTATTATTCATAGTCCTCAGAAAAGAAAGGAATGCTGTTGTTGAAACTTGAAAGTAATTGATTTTGCCTCAAGCTTAATTTCAGTGTTTCCCAGGTTTAGATTTCAAGTTCATTGTATTCATCTTTTAATCTGAACAGGTCTTTACTTATTCTACTTCGGCTTTCCTCCTTACTGGGAAAAATATGCTAAAGAGTGTTTGGGGAAACAATTTCCCGCAACTTCGAATTAGAAGTTGTCCCGAATTCTACTAATGCACCGAGAGATTCAGGTTTCTGTACTATGCATTTTGTTTATTTGGTTATATAATTAGACTTATTAGATGGCAGAATGTGACTTGTTCATACACAACATTTTCAAAAGAATTTTGGTAACAGCAGGTTATTTCTCTTTGAATTCTGTTGTCATGACAGATACTAGCTTGATTAAGACTCCAAGTAATCTTGCCCATAACTTGTCCACTATGGTTGAAGAGATCAAACTTTGATAACAGTCAGAAAAAGGACAAATATTCAACAATAAAGGTGCAAGATGAACAAAATCCGAAGAGGAACACACCGGTCAGCTTACCCTCTAAGTTAAATCGTGTCAAAGAGCACTCACCCAGGAAGGAAACTCGGAAAAAACTTGATTTAGCAGATGTGTAAGCTTTCTTCTACTCTGTTTCTATAGTTTAAGTGTTCCCTTTGACATGTAGACAGTAATATCATATTTTCTTACTTGCCTGGTTTTACTCAAAATGTAACTACCTCACTCCGCTAATCAGATATGGCATACGATAATCTTTATTCACTTAAAATAAACGGTCCAACGCTTGCTGCTTGCCTGATAAAATATTTAATGCAGATTGACCATGTTGTATTCATGTTGGTCTGAATTCTGCTCTCTACAAATGGGTTTCTTCTCAAATTTACTTGTATTGTGTTGCTATTTACTTATTGGTGTCTACTGCGTGTATGTTTGTTTGTAACACTAAACTTAATGCTATGTTTGCAAACATGATTGTGGGAATGAAACATGCATTTTGAGTAAAATAATATGAATTTCAATCTCATTACTAAATAGTCATCTAACAAGTTCATGAATTTGGAAAACAATCGTAAATGCTACATTTTTATGTTTAATCACAAAACTTGCATTATTGAAATCCAATTTCCCAAGCGCAACCTTAGTCTTTTTTGTCCTTTAATCATTTGATTGTTTATGTTTCTATTTAGGCAAGCCCTGTATCCGACACAAGAAAAGGGACACAATCAATTCTCTCTCCCGAGTCACTGAATCTCAAGCGGTCAAGATCAGGTGAGTCTAAAATCTATAAGATTCAGAAACTATCTTATACATCTTCCCAAAAGTCTTGTACTCCTCTCCCTCCTTATTTTGTTATAAGTTTTGGTATCTTCTGCATTGCCAAGTAATGGTGCCTTTCCTTTGTAATTGTTAATAAAATATCCCTTGGAAGTTAATTTATATATGCCACTTCTAAACACTGATCAGTTAAAGAATCAATTTCAGTGAATTTTTGCTCTCATTTTTTAACTGCAATTTACCAAATCTATCTGATCTAAGCAAATGACATCATTAATAATTTTTCTTTTCTGTTTCATGGTAGAATTGTTATGGGGTCTGAAAGTCCTTGCATAATTTTAATTTCGTTGTCATTAGATACGTGCTCGTTCAACTGTTTAGTTATTTCTGTATGATGCAGGCAGAGTCCTCTACCTCCAATGGAATTTTGGCGCAACCAAATTCCGGTTTATGATCAGGTTTGTAATTCCATTTTGGCCTATACTTGCTTTCTTGTCTTGAATCATTGCCCACCTCCAGTTTGAGAATTTACCCTCTCCTCTCTACCTTGAATCTTTAGGATCGTAGAATTACTGGCATTCAGGAAGCGATGGATGACACTCAACCATCAGGTTTGTCTAATGTTTAATGCATGATTAGTTTTCCTTGGTTTCTCGAAGGAAATAGATTCATTCAGAGTTATGGAAATGACGGCTTCGATCGACACAGTTCGATTTTATCTTTCGTGTTCCATTTTCCATCCTAGAGTATTTTGCAAGTTACATTGAGGTAGTTATTTAAACACGTCTATGGATGCTTGCTAATTGTTTTGGTTTCTACTTTTATCAGTAGGGAGCAAGTCGAATCCGAAGCGATTCAAAAGGTGAAGAAAGCTTCTGTCACGAAGTGTTAATATTTTGTGTTAACTGGTCCCAAAAACGATGCCGGCGTAGACCCTGGTAGATCTCTTTTATTTCGTGTAATGTGTATTTTGTCCTTGTTATTTAATGTTAATTGACATGCCAAGCCTTTCAAACTTGTAAACTTTTATTGTAATTTGGATATTTTTTTAATTTCAATAAAACTAGTTACGTTTATCTTGTTAAAGAAGAAATAAGTTACCCCATTTTTCAAATATAATAAATATTTTGTAAGGTTGTTCTTGTTTTTTGTGTTTTTATTTTATATGACTTAATTTAATAATATTATCTTAGTTCAGAGATTATGTTCGTCTTATCGAAGATGCTCCTAGTCGGCAGTGTCTTGGCATGCACACCATTTTAGAGTTTTAAGGAAGGCTTTTATTTTTTAGATTTTAAAAAAAAATCTATAAAATTTCACGTTGTATGATCACAATGTGTCGTGTGATAGTGATATCATAGAAAAAATTATAAGGCATAATAGTTAAAATTGATCAAATACTTAATTGATTCAATTTCTCGATTTGAGGATTCATTTAGTTTAATATCTCGCTCTAAAGATTCAACCGAGTGTTCAATATTAAAATTTTAATTATTCTTTTTCAAAAAATGTGAGGGATTCATGCACGATTTAAGCCTTTAATTTATAATCAACTAATAATTTTAAACTAACTTGTGCATTTTTAAGAATGATACTTGTGGGGGTTTTTTCATGGAAAGGCTACACGTCTATTTCTATTCTTCTTTACACACATCTATTTTCACTTTTCCAGGACGTTCCAGTAGTTCATGCATACCCCGAAGAGCGACCATGCATACTTGCTAACCCATCTGCTACCATATTGTTGCTCCTTATATTTCTGATCTCCACTATCCAGTCCCACTTTAAACAATCCTCAATGTGTTGCATTATCGAGTTGCTTCTCGTCTTTTCTTTAGCTTGGAAAATTTGCCATACTTCACTGCTGTATG